GAGGCGAATATATTTGGGTGCGAACATTCGATAATGGGGGGGATCTACTCTAACATCTTCAGAGCCGCTTCTGCGTGGAAGTCCAAACCATTTGAACTGCATGGTTTGTGGGCGCTAATTTCGGGTCTCGATGGCGTGAACTTGACTCGGAGCCGATTTATTTGAGTGCGAAACATTCGATGCAGCAGACATTCTGACGCAAAATGCTCGGGGACCGTCTCTGCGTAGAGGCCCAAACCATTTGAACACATCTGCTCGAATGGTTTGGAGACATCCCACGGTCTCCGCGCGACTCAAATCGTGAGAACCGTCTCTGCGCGATATACTCTCGGATTTGAGGGTGGGCCGCTGCGCTCTCGGGGCCTGGATTTGAATCCTTTTAGAAATTTCTAAGCTAAGCAGAAATAATAGTAACTATGCTAATAGCAAAAAGTAATTGGTTATCCGATGATAATACTAGCAGCATAAATAATATGAGGAAGGGGGGGGGGGGGGGGGGGTCCACGAGGCCGGGGAGGGAAATTGCAGAGGAACCCCGGGGGGGGGGGGGGGGGGGGGGGCAAGGGGGGGGGGGAGAGAGAGAGAGAAGAGAGAGAGAGAGGAGAGAAGAGAGAGGAGAGAAGAGAGAGAGAGAGAGAGAGAGGAGAGAGCCAAGAGAGGAGAGAGAGAGAGAGAGAGAGAGAGATAGAGAGAGAGGAGAGAGAAGAGAGAGAGGAGAGGAGAGAAAGAGGAGGAGAGAGAGAAAAAGTAGAGAGAGAAGAGAGAGAGAAGAGAGAGAGAAGAGAGGGGAGAACAGAGAGAGAGAGAGAGAGAGAGAGAGAGAGAGAGAGAGAGAGAGAGAGAGCAAGAGAGAGAGAGAGAGAGAGAGAGAGAGAGAGAGAGATCGGACAAGTAGGCGGACCAGGGTCCGTCCGCGAGGCGCACTGCGGTGCGACAACTCGCCAAACACTATTAGCGGCGGTGCAGCCTTAAGATACGAGGGCGGGCAACAAAACCCCCTCCCCCGGCGCAATGCGACAGACGCTACAGACGGCGGACAGACGGTGAAGATCTCACATGTCAGACCGCGCGAAGAAAGAGGCCCCAACAAGGAAGGCGACGTGCTGACACGTGGCTAGGCGGTTTGGCAGACCGCCAGTTGGGCGCTTGGCCGCAAAGCGGCGCGCAGGGACGGGGCACCCCCCGCCCCCACGCCCTGACACCGTGGACGCGGAGCCACGCGTACACACGGGCAGGCAGAAAGGAGGAAATTAGCGCGGGACACCAGGTGGAGCGCCGCGGAGAAATGACAGCATAGCTTGGATGGTGAGTGGCGGCGTAGCACCATCGGGCGAGGGCGTAAGCAGCTCGGCGAAAGCACGCCCGGCGCGGTGGAGGCGCTGGAGCAGAGGGCCTTGACGGGCTTGAGCAGCGGCAAGGTCAGCGGCGAGAGCAGCACACCTCTGCTGAAGAGCGGCCATAGCCTGGGACAGCTCCGTTTCGCGGTCGGTGTGGGGCGGCTGCTCAGTGCCAGCGGCCGCGGGCCTCGTGGCAGGGACGAGGTCATCAGTGCGCCTGGCCAGGTGGTGGACTAGCGCAGTACGGCACTCCGTGTGCTGACGGCCGTCACCCTTGATAGGCGACTGGAGGGTGACACGCGGCCCCAGGGCTGGAGCCGCTAGGGCCACGCCCCGTGAGGTCAGAAGAGCCGCATCCTCACGCCCAACAACAATGGAAGCGTGAACGGGGTGCGACGGCCTGACTGGCTCGGTGCCCTGCGGGGGGGCTGGAGCCGCCCCCGCGGGCTGGCGCTGGTGGGGGGACGGAGTGGGTGGCACGGTAGGACCAATCATGATGCCGTGCGAGGGCTCGGATGTCGGCCGCGTAGTCGGGTGGCGTCTCGATGGGGCGGCATCGTCGGCGGCGTGGGGTGTCGGCGGAGCGTCGTCTATGCTGCCACTCAGTCCGAGGGGATCAGCCAGGTCATCGTCGGCGTCTTGGCGGTGAGCGATATCCCCATGTGGGTGCGATGTCGCTCTCAGTGTCGGAGTCGCGGTAGGCGTCGAGAGGTTGCCCGACGGGGCAGGGTTTGCGCTGGCTGGGCCGTCGTCCAAGAAGTCCAATCCCCCACCGAAGCCGAACGGGTCGTCCTCCTGTTCATCGAGCGTCGCCCGTTGGGCCTCGGCCCAGAGCTCATCCGGGTCTTGCGGGATGAATGGTCCAGCCGCGGGTGGTGCCTGGTCCGTCAGCAGGGGGTTTGGTTCCATTTTGCTGAGTTCCGCAGCTGTAAACCCAGCCCTGCGGTGTGGGAGCGGCAGAGTGCGGTGTCTGCGCTCGTAGATAGCGACAGCGACCCCATGGAGCACGGTCGCTTGGCGATGTCGTGTTTTGGCAGCTTCGACAATGTGGTCAGGAAGGTTGTGCGTGCGCGCCGCCATTGTGGCAAGGGCGTCGGCCTGACGGTTGAACTCCTCCGCAATGGGCCCGATGAGCCCAAGGTCGATGCCCATGTCTCCCAGATGGCTGGCGATTTTTTCGACGCGAAACATGTTGGGCTTGGCCATAACACATCGTTGGATCTTTTCCCAGAGCTCCGCGTGCGTGCCCTGCGGCGCTGGATGTCCGTCGATGATGCTTTGGAACCCATCGACCACCGCTTGGTTGTCCACGAAAACGTGCACGGGCCGTTCGGCACATGCCGTAAGGTGGACAACGGCGAGGGTCTCCGCAACCTGGGCGTTCTGCGTTAGGCCGTGAACGCGTGCACTGTAGATCATGCGGTGGTCGATGCCGTAGTAGACGCCGTAGCCCGCTCTTGCTAGCAATGGGATGGCTTGGTTGGTGCATGCACCGTCCGTGGCAGCGTAGACCCATGTCCAACCAGTGTCGTGGTCAAGGTAGGTGGTGTAGGAGTCCTGGGCTGAAGCCGCAGGATCTCCCTCAGGGGGGGGGGCCGCGGTATGGGCTGAGGTAGCGGGTCCCTCGCGAGGTCGGCCTGCAGGTTGAGGAGGGCTGGGTCTTCATCGAAGAGCCCGCAGTGTCTTGTGTGCGGCGGAAGACGGGCCCACTGCTCGTCACTGATGAGGGTGGTGAGAGGGACTCTTTCTCGGGCCCAGCACTTGCAGTCGCGGACAGTGTGCTCCTGAGTTTCCTCTTCCTCGTCGCAGTAGCGGCAGATGGGGCTGGGGTCTGCCGACGTGTTTGATCGGGATCGTCGCTGTTGGGTGTGGTCCCCGCCCGACAGGTAGTTCAGGAGGAGCGCCAGCTGCCAGGCAGTGCATTTGGCTGCTCCTTTAGTTCGAGCGAGCCACGTGCTGGCGAAGAGGTCGAGGCCCTGTCTGACAGAGGCTAGGTCGCCAAGGTCGTGTCGCCGTGGCTTGATCCTCCGCAGAAAAGCCCTGCGTTGCGAGGCCCGCAGCATGTGTAGGAAGGCGTTTTGGGGTAAATTCAGCCAGCTGATCTGGCAGCCCCAGTCGTCGTACATGATGCCAAATGTGGGCCAGGTCCATCGGAGCTGCTGGAGCGACTGGACGAGTCGTCCGACGGGTCCTCCACCAAACAGGGTCTGGACGTGGTGTTGAAGGTCTCTGGCGAGCCCGCAGAGTGTAACGTCGCGGTTTACCTGTCGCCGCAGCCACAGGAATGCTTCACGCTGCGTGATGGCGTCGATATCCAGGGCGTGTCCTGGGACGCACACGGCCATGAGAGTCCAGAACTCGACCCACTTGTTCCCCTTGGGGCGGATAGCCGCCTTGAGGGCGTGGTTGTAGGCAGTTTTGGCTGTGCCTGATGGTGCTTGAATGTCGGTGCCCGTGGTGCAGACGCTGGCAGCCAGGGAACGGGCGTGCCGCGCCTTGATAAGCATCGGCGATGGGAGCTTGCCAATGCGCGGCAGGCGGATAGTCGCCCTCCGTACACGGGCGTCTGCGGTGGCCGTGAGGTTCAGCGCGGCTGGAGCCGGCGCTGCCTCTGCGTTGATGTAACTCCCGACGAGCTTGAAGGAATCGACCACACGTAGGGGGCGCTCCGCCAGTGTGAGCTGGGTAACGGCGGCGTGAAGCTCGTCGGTGAGCGCCCACCCTGCCTCTTTACCAGGGTGAATGCGTTGACCTGAGAATCGATCAAACTTGGCGGTTTCGTCAAGAGATTTCTGCAGCTCAGACGCGGTGTGGGTAGTGGAGTTGCTGTCGTCAACAAAGGTAGTGCTAAGTGATCGGGGAACGTATCGATGCTGCCTCTTTGTCCACACGCACATGAGCAACTTGATGTCGTCCAGGGACCACGAGCTTCCCTGGAGGTGACCGTTAGTCCTGGCCAAGCCCTTAGAGAACGCTCCGTTCATGCGGATGTAGCGTTTGTGGTGTCTGTAAAAATTTCGGCGGACAGTAACGATGTCTTGAGGGCACCCCGCGTGCAGCGCAAGGTTGAGGCAGATGTCCGTGATGAGGTAGTCGAAGCACTTCTGTCGGTCAAGGGCAGCACCAGCTAAGGGGAGGAGTAAAGCCCTGGCGTGCTCGATTCGCAGGGCGAGAGAGGTGCTGACGTCCCCAATGGTGGCTTTGGGGACAGCGCCGAAGCTCGTGGCGTGGGTCCATCCTTTCCGCCAGTCCGTGAGGCTACGGTAGGCTGGCGCTTCCCACGCGTACATCCAAACGGAGAGAACCGAGAGAAGTCGTTGGTCCGTGGGGAGTTCCCCTCGGCCTTTTCGGAGGCACGGGTTTGGCACGTGAAGGAGGGGCTCTGGGATGATGCCAGTGCGTTGCATAGCACGTAAAACGCTGGCAAAGAGGCGAAGGATGTCGTCGGGGAGCTCCTTAGCCTCCTTAGTTGTCCAGCCGTCGAGCCCCCCCGACCGGTGCGGTGAACGGGTGCGAATGAAGTGGATGAGTTGGTCATCGGTGAGGTGGAAAGGGGCTGCTGGTGATGGCGTAGGCAGCTCTTGTCGGTACTCGTCGTAGAAGTCTGCCCACGTCGGCATAGCTTCGGCGTCATGGCCTGCGCGGGCGCGGTACCTGCCCAGGATGGGCTCCCAGGTGTCGACCATGAGCTTAAGCATGTCTTTGGTATTGGCAACGATGGCGTTGGCGGGGAGGGCGTCGGGCACCTGGGCAGGTGATGGGTCACGAGTGCGGCCTTCGTCGTTGTCCGTGTCGAGCGAGCTACCGTCGCTGGGGCTGAAGCCGCCAGCGTCGGTGTCAGCATCACTATCGTCCGTACAAGCTTGGTCAGGGTTGAAGGCGGTGGAGTCGCAGTGGAGCTGAGCATCGTCGGGAGTGGCGGGCGTGCGGAGATACGCCGTGGGCGAGCGGTCGGCGGCCCGTGCGTATATGGCCGCCTTTCGCCCGCTTGGCTCACGGACACCCTCGGCCCAAATCTTGATGCGTTCAGCTTTGACACGGTTTGCACGTCGCGCCAGCTCGGCGTCAAGGTTTTGGATCAGACGGTCCAGGTGGTCTCCGCGTGGTGCTGAAACGTCGGGGGCCCAGGCCTCGGGGAAGGCCAGGAGGACCGTGGGGCGCAGCTTGTGGCAGAGAAGGCGGGCTGCAGTCCACGTGCAGTCGATGCGCTGCGCCAGGTACGGCGGGATAGCATGGCAATCGATATGATGGTGCTGTCCGATAAAGCGCAGCTCACAAAGTTGCCGATGGAGCTTGCGAAGGCGGTTCATGTGGATCGTGGAAGCTCCGTAGGTGGGAAAAGCGCGGGGGACAGCGGGTCGCTCCTCGAACGTGGGTGTGAGCCCGTGCATGGTAGGGGGCTTCTTTTTTGGGTGGTCTGGCGGTGGAGGTGGCAGGTCGCGCAGCCGGGTGAGATGGTACTCATGGCTGGCCTCGTTAGCCAGGGCGAACATGCGTTCCACATCGTCGCGTGTGTCGGCCTGCTCCATGCGGTCATGGTATCGCCCTGCGATGAGGGTCCCTAAAGCCTGAAGTTCGTGTCCTCATGCGCTCCGTCGTTAGGAGGGTAAGGCGTGGGGGCTAGAAGGCGTCGGGCCGTATGGTCGAGGCGGCTAAGGTCGAGCGTGACCTGTAGGCCAACATGGGACTTCGCTGGCAAGTCACGCAGATAGCAGAAGTCGGTGACAAGGGATCGCGCCGCTTGGTTGGCGATGATGTAATCGATGCGCGAAGTGCGGGGACACTTGGTGACACGGTCCCAGTCAGGGATATTGCCATATGTGTGCATGGTGTGGTCGGGTGTGCCTTCAGCGACGTTAAACCATCCGTGCTGCATCATGTGCAGCAGGTGTGGATTGTCGTCGATGTTCGTGTTGGCGTCCATGCAAATGAAATACGGGGCTGAGCCGACCCTCGCGGCGGCGCAGTCAGCGAGCCGAAACAAATCGGTGCTGTCTCCTCCAGCGACCCCGTAGAGGCTCGCAATGTAGATCCCAGCAGGCCCGTGGTTGTTTCGTCGCCGCCTGCGGCGGTGCTGGGTGCAGAGCGGGAGGAAGGCCTCGTGCCATCTTTTCTTGGCCTTGAGGGTGGCGATACAGGACGCTGTGTCGTCGACGGTGGAGTCGACGATGGCGTCCTTAGAGAGGATGGCGACCCCTCCCGAGGCGCCAGTGTTGCCCTCGACCGTGTGGTCCGTGCCACCGTGAGCAGCTTTGCGCTGGGCTCGCGCCAGATCCAGGTCAGGTCCCAGACTGGCCTGATATCCTCCGTTGTGTGGATTGGCGGCGTTGGTAGCGATGGCTTGCCTGGTAGGCTTGGCATGTCGGGTCTCCTGCAGTGCTATGACTGCGGCGTTGTGGTCGACACCTAGAGCGGTGATGGTTGGCCAGTTCGCTGGGAGACTCGTGATGTTGAGGCTGACGAGGTGGATGGAGCGACCTGGCCCGTCTCCGTCGGTGGAGCTGGGGTTGGCGCGCCCCGCGCGGTGGAGGGCAGCCTGGCCCTCACCCAGGTAGAAGGCTTGGCCACAGTAGGAGCTCATGGCGTCCCTGCAGATTGGCTTGAACGGGGCTGAAGCCGCCGTCAGGCCAGAAGTATAGGCGAGGCATGGTCGACACTGCGCCAGGGGGGGTTCATAAACATCGGCAAAACTGCATCGAAAATTCCTCCTCACTCCTGTACCGTGGGGGACGAGGGGAGGAGAGGTGAGACGGCAGCAGCGGGAGAGGGAGGCGACTCCTCGATCCGTCCTGCCGAACACAAGAGCAAAAGCAGACCAGCGGCGGCAGCTCGGCGCGGCAGCGGCGCAACGCGCGCGCATATACTGCGCACGCGACACCGCTGGTCCGTCCTGCGGCGGCGCGCCCGCCCCGTCAGTACCGTGATGAGCAGCATCGGGTGGAACAGCTCGAGCGGCGCGGTCGGTGGCCTGGCGCTGAGCCTCGTCCATGCCCGCTGCCGTGAGGCACGCGTTGCGGACAGGGCTGACTCCGCGCGGGGCCGCCGCTGCCGCGGCAGCGGCTGAGGTGGCGGGGGCGCCGCCACGACTCTGAGGGGAAAGCGGTGAGCCGCCGCCGAAGCCCGCCGCGAGGTCCTTGACGCGGTACTTGTTCTTGAAGGGGTCGAAGGTCGGCGCCTCGTCGATGGGGGCGACAACGCGGGTGGGCGGCGGCATCTCCTGGTCCGTGGACGGCGTCGGCTCGAGGTCGACCTGGCCAGGGTCGGTGGCGCTGACACCGAAGCGTGGCACCACCTCGGGGGCTTGGGCATCAGCCTGAGTCTCGCGGGGCGGCGAGCTCGTGGAGCTCCCAGGGGCCTTGCGCGAGCTGCGGCGGCTGCAGGACCGGCTGCGCGGGACGCGCCCGCCCGTATGGCGGTCGCGTGGCGAGGTCGCCTGGGCGTTAGCGCGCGCAGAGTCCGCCCTGCTCGGGGAGCGGATCGGCGCTGCGCAGGGTGTTGGGCTGGGCTGGCGGGAGCCGCCTGTGCCGCCCGCCGCCGAGGCTGCAGCCTGGTCAGGGTCGACGGCGTCAGGGCGGGGGCTGACGTGATGGGCACTACCCTCGCTGTGCCGCGGGGAGGCGCTGTGGTGCGCCTGGGTGTACGTGAGGACGAGCGGGACGAGCGGCTGCCGCTCGCGCTCAGGTGGGGCAGGTTTTGCCTGGGAAGGGCGCAGCGCTGCGGCCACGTTTGGCGGGGGCGTGTGTTGGCGCGGTTGCCAGGCACGCACGTTCGCATCGCGCCATCCTTCAGGGCGCCCTGTCCTGCCACGGCTTGGTGCAGCCCCCTGGGCTGAAGCCGCAGGGGTTACCACTGCGGGCTGGTTGCTGGGGGTGCTGTCGTGGCGGCCTGGGTAAAGGCCCCAGGCACGCGTGGACCCAGGCGCGGGCGAGGTGGCCCGTGGGGGAGCCTGCACGAGTGCACGCGGGTAGCCGATGACCGCTGGGTGCACCCTGGCGTGGGGGGCATGGCCGCAGCTGGAGGCGGCTGCTCCTGCCGCCGCGGGCCTGGCGCCAATGGGGCCACGGTGGTAGGCGGCACCCCCGCCGTACACCGTGCTGTCGCCTGTCGGGACGCGCGCGGGGGAGCGGTTGCGTGGCGTGCTCGGCTGACCTGCGTCGCGTTGGTCTCGCTGCTGAATGCGCTGCTGGTGCTGTTGGTAGCGCTGCTGGTCGGCTCTCGAGAGCGGGCGGGTGTCGGGGAGGATGGTGGGCACGTCGGGCCGCCGCCAGCCCTGATAGACGTGCTCGAAGGCGTGGTCTGGGTAGGTCTCCCCGACGGGTGAGTAGCGCCGCACATGCTCCACGTAGTCGATGTTCTGCGGCTCGGGGAGCACCGTGATGTTCACAGCTCGCTGGTGCGCTGGTCCATAGAGACAGAAGCTACCACGGTTGCTGCGGTCGTGGTTCAGCTCGGCTTCGGTCGTGGCACGGCTCACCATGGCGTCGCAGAGGCGCATGTCATAGTCGAGAGCTTGAGGCCCAGGGCCGCCCTCGGCATCCCAGTACAGTATCACATCTCGCCAGCGGGCGCGGGTAGTGTGGATGCGCTCGGCGATGGACTCGCAGACGGTCCTGGCTGTGACACGATCCCTATGCATCTTGACGATGGCTAGGGAGTAAGGTCGGCGGACCGTTTTGTTGAAGATGAAGTCCTCCTTGAGGGCCTGGTGGGGGCCGAAGAGCACGTAGCCTTCCCTCCACAGCGGTTGGTCGGGGGACGGATCTTCAGGCATCCCCGTTCCTGTGAACCCAGGTGGCCGCCTCGTGCCGTCGGGCAGTCCCTGCTTGAGGACGCGACGCGGCCTCGGTGGAAGATACCATTGACCCTGGTAACCTGCTTGGCCTGGTTGTGGAGGCTCCCCCCCGGGGCCTGAAGGCGCTCGGGGGAGATCCTTGAGGTCGTGCTGGGCTGGCGCGTTGCCGTATTGGCGGGCAAGGATGTGCGGAGGCATCCCTGTGGCACGGACGTCGAACAGGCTGTGCGGACTAGGCGGATGGGGGCACCTGCTGGAGAGGCAGCATGTGTCGGAGTCCCTGTTGTCGGTGCTGTACGCACACGTCCATCTGTTGCAAGAGTAGTCCGTGGACCAGTCCATAAGTGCACGTAGTCCGCTGAGGGAGCAGTCTGGGCACGTTGGGTGGCCCGAGGTGCCGAGCTGCGTGTTGCGGCGGGGGAGGAGGGGGGCCGCGCATTACTGCACAGCAAGTGGAATCGGCGACTGTGGGCATGACGCAGCGCCTTGGTAAGAAAAATATAAAAAGAAAGAAAAAAAAAGAAAAAAAAAAAAGAAAAAAAATAAACAAGAAAAAAGAACGGGAAAACACAAAAAAAATATAAATAAGTAAAAATAAAATTAATAAAAGGTAAAGGGAGGGCGGGAGCGCTTGCTCGTTGGTGCCTGCGTCGTCTGGGTGGGGGTCGGGGTCGATCCCACAAGGGCCCGACGTCGGCGAACCAGGACTGGCCTGTAGTGCGGACCACCTCGGCGGGGAGGCGAGCGTCGTCAGCATGGCGCTCGATCCACTGGGGCCCCAGGTCCGCTGGGATCATGACCGTGCGCCAAGTGTCGTCCGCCTTGACGTGGACTTGGGTCGGTGCCCAGAGCTTGGTAGTGGTATCGCCATGGTCGTGGTGGA